CTTAAGGCAGCTTCCATTCATCCCACAGGTTCTGGTAAGTTGTATCTGAATTTTCATGAGATTATAAATCTTGTTTAATTTCATTCATGAACCATTTATTGTTCAGTAGTGTATTTAGTTTCCATGTGTTTGTAGAGTTTTTGCTGTTTATTTTGTCTATTATTTCCAGTTTTATTACACTATGTTCAGATATTATGCATGGAATAATTTTGATTCTTTTGCATTTACTTAAGCATATTCTATGTGCTAGCACATGATCTATTTTGGAGAATATCCCATGTACAGCTGAACAAAATGTGTATTTTGAAGCTGTTGGGTGGAAGACTCTCTAAAGGTCTACTAAGTCCATTTCTTCATAGTTTGGTTTAGTTTTGTTATTTCTTTGCTCACTTTTTTGCATGGTTGATCTATCTCTTTGTGTTAATGGGGTGTTAAAGTCTCCCAATACAAGCATGTCATTGCTCATTAGATTTTTTCATATTCATTCAAATTTGTCTTATGTAGTTGGGTGCTCCTCCATTGGGTGCATACATATTTATAATTGTTATCTCTTCCTCTTGCAGTTTTCCCCCAACAAGTATGTAATGACCTTCTTTATTTTTTTAAATCTCATTCTGTTTAAAGTTGACATTTTCAGCAACCAGAATAGCTATACCTGCGTTTTTCTGGGTTTTTGTCACATGGAGTATTGCTTTCCATCCTTTGGTATTCAGTCTATTAATTTCTTTTTGAGTTAAATTTTTTTCTTTTATGCAGCATATGGTTGCATTTCCTTTAGCCACACTACCAGTCTGCTTCTTTAGATTGGTGAATTGAAGGTATTTGCCTTGGTAGTGATAACTGATATATATTGGCTTATTTTTGTCATGCTGTTTTCCTACTTTTCCCCTTTGCCTAATTACTTACTCTACTTGGTTTTTCTCATCTGTTGTTGTTGATGTGGTCATCTTTGTTTTTTTAAATAAAATATCTGTTAATATTCTTTGAAGGGCTGATTTGGTTGTCATTAATTACTTCAGTTCCCCCCCCACCAATGGCAGTATCTAATTCCTCCATTAAATTTGCTAGATTTGCAGGATATGTTAATCTGGGTTGCAAGTTGTTTTCTTTCAGGACCTGAAATATTTCTTTCCAAGCTCTTCTTGATTTGATGGTCTGTATTGTGAAATCTGCTGTGATTCTGAAGGGCTTTTCAATATAGGTAGTCTGTTTCTCTTCCCTAACAGCGTTTAATAATTTGTCCTTTTGCTCAATTTGTTTGACATTCATGATTATGTGTCTCAGTGATGACTTATTTTTATTATGGCTATGTGGAGTTCTACATCCTTTGGTTACTATAGATCATATTCTTTTCCCATGCTCAGGAAATTTTCTGCTACTACTTCTGAGAACACTTTTTATGTCTTTTGTATTGTCTCCAGCTGTTTAGTTGACACCTACTAATGTTATATTATTTTTCTTTGCATCATGTTGCAGCTGTTGTATTATTATTTCCTGGTTTCTCATTATTTTGAAGAGATGCTTCTTTTCATGGTTCCAGCTGCAATGCTATCTTCAAGTTCTGAAATTCTATCTTCTGTTTCATTCAAGAGGTTTTGCTGGCTTTAAGTGGAATTCTTAATGTCCTGGATGTCACTTTTAATCTGTTTCATGCATCCTAGTTCTTTCCTGTATTGTTCATTCAATGTTTACATCATTTTCCTATTCCCTTCTATTTTTTATTTATCTGTTCCTTAGATGTATGAAGCAATTCTTTTGTGATTGTTGTCAATTCCTTTTATACTTAAGAGGTTATTTCTGATCTGATATCCTCCATGATCTGATGAAGTTATTTCTTTACTTCAGTTGCTATCATCTCAGAAATTTCAGGTGTGTGATGTCGAAGTTCTTCTATGACCTTGTCTTCTGGACTTGTTTTGGGTGGGCAGAGGTCTGAGATTGCCTTTTGTTTCTTTTTTTTGTCATTTTTTGCAGTGATGGTAGATGGCAGTGTGCAGGTCAGTGAGGCTCCTGCTGTGTGGAGTTCGATGTGGTTTCTATCTCATTAAGTAGAGAGGGGCAAGAAGGATCTGATTATGATGAATGTGCAAGGCTCTCTTGATGGTGGATTGCTGCAAGGTAATGCTCTGCAAGGATTCTACAGGTCGCTGTGGTAATCAGGACTCTGTGGTGGTCCTGAGGGTGAGGAGGGTTGGGCAACTCAGGAAATTCTATTGGGAAGGCTGGGGGTGGAGCTAGGGCTGCCCAGTCTCCCATATTGTCTTCAGGGCAAAAGTGTGCAGCCAGAATCATCAAGCTCCACAGAAGGGCAGGTGCTAGCTTACCACAGTTCTCTAGTGGTCTTCAGGCCATGCAAAGGCTTCCAGACTCAGAAAACTCTTGCATATAACTCTTAAAAACTGTTTTTTGACTTCCTTTTTTGTTTAGAATACACTGTATATGACGGAATTTCATAAAACATGCTTCTGACATACTTTACAATTTTTGATTGAAAGAATGTTAACACTAGTTTTCTCTAGAATTGTTTTACAATTGATCTTGAATCCAACAAACTTTGTCGTTTCCTTCTCATTGCTTTTTTTTATTAGTGCATGTTTGCAGTATATAATGTTTACATTCCTTATGAGAAGTTGATACCATGAACATAACACATCTTAATTGCTATTTTCATCACTGCCCTCTCCACTCTCCCTTCATGTTTTGATTCCCTTCCCATCTGGAATGGTCCATTTGCCTACTTCCTGTTATTTTTCTTTTGTCCTTTGTTTATATTTTGGGTCTTTCAAATAAGAGAAACTATGTGCTATTTAAACTTGATTTATTTCACTTAATTTTAAGGTCTTAAGGTGTATATCTGAGGGATTTGGGGACCATATAAGAGACATGGACCTGAACACCAAATCAAGAGTCAGCTTTGAGTTATGATCCATCTCTCCAGCCTCGTGAAGACAAGATCATTTCTTTGTTGCATCTTTCCTGATTTTTTCTTCTCCTTCTTTTTCTCTATGACTTTCTCCTTTCCTGTGTCCTCTTCATGCCTTCTTTCTTCCTCTTCCATTTTTCCCTCAGCTTTCACTCCTACTCATTGTAATGCTATAGCTGTCCTAAGCCCCAGCACATCAGGGTGATCTCCCACAAGACTCTGCATTGGGTGGACTCTGTTTCCCCTTTTGTTTCTGCTTCCTACATGGCAGTTCTGATACCCAGTGCCTAACAGAAAGCACTGGACAAAAACTGGCTTTGACATTCAAATGTCCACTAAGGTCATTGATTTCACTTTGTTTTAGGCCTCTGTGTTTTCTTTGTTCTCCGCCAGCTTAGCAATGAAATTAAAATACATTTAATATTTTATTCAGGATTTGACTTCTTTCAATCAAAAGGATTGTTTCCTGAGTCTGTTGTGCCATATGACAGAAAAGAAGGTCAAAAATATTTATTTTGGAAGATTAAAATTACATCCAGCGCACTTATATTTGTCTTTGTCAAAATGAAGTGATCTTTCACCCAATTTAAATGTTTACGAAAAAAAATGGATTAAGCAACTTAGTAAACATTCTTTTAGAGAACTATATTATAATATCATAATGAGGTAATAATACAGTAATTATATTTGGAAAAGTTACAAGATGTATATCTTCATTTTAATTAATAGACATTATTTTGTTCTTACAGAAATACTGACTTCAGAGTAGAAATTATAGAGTGTTCTCATATTCCTCCATGATTCCTTGTATGAACAGCTTACATTAGTGTGGTACAATCATTGCTACCAAGGAGACAATATTAATTAAGTGCTCGTAATGTTTGGATCTTTTCAACAAGTATACAGGATACGTATAGTGCTCATCAAAAGTAAGGAATCTGAGATTGAATGCTAAAGCTAAAATTCATTCACAAATGGATAAGAACAAGAAGTAGGGTTATTATATTTCCCATTCTATTTTAACTACCTTAAGTATTCCTGCACCCATGTTGATAGCAGCACAATTTGTAATAGCTAAGTCCTGCAAACAAACCAAATGTCTACCAACTGAGGAATGGATAAAAAAGATACAGCATTTTTTACAATGGAGTACTACTCACCAACAAAGAAGGATCAACTTGAGACTTTCATAGGGAAATGGATATAACTGGAGATCATAAATAAGACAGACTCACATGTGCATATAACGTATTGTTGAGCTGGTGTGAAAAATTGAGAGTAGCCTAAAATGTAAAGTAGATATTTTGAAACAGGAAGGAATTGATTAAAAAGTAAAAAGAGCTAGGATGGGAGAAATGCAAACAGGAGAAGGGTAAAGGGAGAAAAAGTACGAATTAGTTACACCATTAGTGCCTTGTACTTCATCGAAAAGGAAGATTTGTGTTCATATCGATTGGAGGAATTTTTAGGCCCATATCTTGTACTCTGAGTAACTACTTTAATATAATAATATGGAATGTATTAATGAGTGTATTAATTATTGTTAGCTTTTTTCATAAAAAAACTTTCCTGTATTTTGTCTTCCTTCAACATTATGAAATATATGTATAACATTGCAAATTCGGTAGCCAGGATTACATACATGCACTACCACCTCTGGTTTTGTGTTGCATATTAATAAAAAGAATCCCAAGGAAAGTGTTTTATGGTAAGATCTCATCTCAAGAGTTAATAAGATAATGGTTATCTATATCACATAGTTCTAACAAGTTAGGACAGCAATTTGTGTTTGCTTTTCCATATGTTCACAATAGGAGAAAACATTATTAGTGATTATGAACCCACTTGCTACTATTCCTTCCCTTCTCTTTTTGGTCCCACAATAACTTTCAGAGTCTCTTAGCATGATATAAAGGTAATACAGTAGACCTGAAGAAATCATGCAGAAGCCAAATTTTTAGCCGGTTATAGTAAGACTATAATTAATTTTAAAATTAGAATAGTGTTTTAAAAGCATAATATGTTTCTCTGCTATTAACTAGACATTTATTAATGTAATTTATATTTTGTATTATAGTGAGTGGACATCCAATACTCAAAAGAGCTAACATCCGGATTGTTGGGAAGTTGGTGGCCAGATCCATAAGAGAAAGGAAAATGACTCAATATTATAAAGCATGAGGAGTTGAATAAGGTTTTAAACACAGTGTTCTACTTTTAGTTGTTGAATGTCTCTACCCAAAAAGATGGGTTACCAGTGGCCATAGATTAATATAGTATTAAGAGAGAAAAACAAACATCTTTGTACATGTAAAGAACTTTGACAAGTTAATCCATAATTTCTAAATGTTTGGAGTGAATATCCTTCATTTTGTCTTATTTATAAAGACATCCATTTACTGTAATGACATGAGCTCACATGTTGTCAAATATTGCTTTCATTAAACTAAAATTTGATTTGTTCGATTACCAATAAAGGCCTTAAAGAACTTCTAGAATTTTTATTTCTAAAACTCATAATTCTGATATTAAGTACTATGTGTTCATTTCTTTATTCTTATGCATGATACTGGTGTAATGTTTTGTTGAAATGATATATAGCCAAGATTTTGACTTTGGAAATAGACTTCATCATATAATCTTTGGAATTTTTAAAAAATAATCATAATATTATTGTCCTTTATCCACTGATCATTCTAAAGGGAAATTTGAGAATTCATATATAAAATTTCTGATTTTAGTTGTGTTAGTTCCAGATAATTTGAAGGCTAGTCACTAACATTAGTACCCTAAAAGTCTTGAATTTATTTTATTCATCCATCCATCATCTGTTACCATCCATCTTTCCTTCATTTGCATACTTATGAGTAGCACTAGAAAAACAAGTGAGGACCAACAGTTGAAGGAACAAAATATATTCACACATTAAATAGCAAATGTGAATAAATATGGGAACCACGTGACAGGCTATTCATTCAGTCTTTACCATGGTTTGTTACTTCTTTGTTAGCCTCTTTAGTCTCCAAACAAACAAATGAACAAATAAACTTTTTCAA